AGTACATGAAATATGCCAATAACATCTTTACTTGGTTTGGTTGCTAGTTAGCATTGGATGCAGGTTTATCTTTTACCTCATAAACATTATTTGAGAACAATCCAGGTTGGTTTACAGAATAACTTCAGGCAGCCTAGGCAAGATGGTATGGAAATATTTTTTTAGGGGAGTCACTTTTATTTGTTTTTGAAGGTTTGGGTTTTGTTAGAGGGCCTTCCCAACAGTACCACCAGTTTTGTGTCATGTCTATGATAATGTATGTCCCAAGGTTTGCAGTTTTTCAAACTATCTTTTGACCTTTAGCCTTTATTGTCATGATGAAATTCTGTACTGTTTCTTTTTATTTTTACCATAACCATTTTATACAGATAAAATTTGCATAGCATACAACTCACATAAAGTATTCAATTCAATTTTGTTCTGTTTTGTTTTAGAATTTTCAGAGTTTAGCAGCCATCACTACGGATTTCAGAACATTTTGATCACCTTAAACAGAAACACTTTCTGATTGGTAATCACTCCCTTTCTCCTCAGTCCTCCTCTGATCTAGGCAACCATTCATCTGCTTTCTGTATCTATAAATTTGACTATTTTGGTACTCTGGAGGCTGAGGCAGGAGGATCCCTTGAGTCCAGGAGTTCAAGATTGGATGGATAACATAGTGAGACTGGTTCAAAATCAATCAACGAATCAGCCTATTCTGTATATTTAAAAGGAACAATACTATTCGAAGTCCTTTTCGATTGGCTTCTTCACTGAGCATCATGTTTTAGCGTGTTTCAGTTCTTTATTCCTTTTTACTGTTTAGTGTCCCATTGCGGAACTCTGTTTACTTCCTGGTCGGTGGTCATCTGGGTTGGTCCTACTTTTTAACTCTACTTTTTGCTAATAGAAAGTATCTGGGTGCAGGTTCTTGTGTGGATGAATGTTTTCATTTCTTTTGGGCATATGGCTAGAAATGAAATTGCTGGATCCTATGCTAACCCTATGTTGAAACTTTTGTGAAACTGTCACACTCTTTTCCAAACGGGCTGTACCATTTTGCCTTCTTGCCAGCACTGTAGGAGGGATTTCCAATTTCTCCAGCTCTCATTACCTGTCTTTTTGATGAGAGCCATTCTAATGAGTACAAAGCGGTATCCCCTTGTGGTTTTGATGTACAGTTTTGGTTTTTTTTTAATCTAACATTTAAGAGTTCCCCTTTGCCTCCCCTTGAAGCTCCCCTGGATAGATCTGTGATTGGAGTTCCATACTTATTTTTTCCCTGAAGATCCCAAAAAGCCACACAAGTAGATGATGTGCCCTATAACCACTGTTAACGCTGGCAGACAGGGTGGAACTGGACCAGGAAGAACCTCAGGAGGAAAAATTAGAGTGTGTGTGTGGCTTATGGCCCCCAAAATAAAATTAGTTATGTAGATATCTCCATCAACCATAGACCTTTGGTCCAGTTATTTAAAAACTCAGAACTAAATGAGGAAAGAAACTTTTTTCCTGGAATCCTTCATTAATCATTAACTCCTGATGACTTGTAGGAAGAAAAATCTAACATGTCTTATCTGACATGAAAATGTGCACACCTCTCCGTGAACACGTGCTGCTGGGTTAAAGATGAGATGCCAACAGTGGGTGGCGGGGAGGAAGCATGGAGAGTGTGGTAGGGCTACCAGGCCTCACATGTCTTAGAGGATATGCCACATGGAGATTAGGATGGAGGAACAAGTAGCGCATTACTAAAAAACAAGATCAAGAAATGGAAGAAAAGTCAATATTTTTGTCAGTGTGAGAGGCTCACAAATCTGAGCTTGAGAGATTGAGAAGAACGGAGACTCAAAAAACCTCGGCTGTGGCATGTCATGTTATCACAGTACTCACCATGGGACAGGCCCAGGCCTAGTGTGGGCACCTGAATAATTCCACTTCCTCCTCATAGCACTCCCCACCCCCTATTTTTCAGATGAGGGAAATGAGATTATATGGCCTGTCCAAAGTTGCTTGGAAATACAAATTAAGATGGCTGCAGTTTGGCCTTGGGGGTTGCATCTGACAGGCTGCAGTTTATCACAGGCACTCTCTCCACCCCCCACCCCTAAGTCTTTAACTGCCAGATAAAGAATGATGTTTGGAAAGAATGAGCCTGTGAGATCCCTGTTTGTGACAGTTTCCAATCCTGGGACTTGTACTTTCTTGCTGGCCATCTCAGAAGACTTATTGCTCACCGGTGACCCTCACAGTGGCCCCCTAGCAGCTAATCATGGGTACTTGGCATATGAGCAGACCCTCAGCACCAATCCAAACTCATTCAAAACAGCTCATGTAACTAACAGGGCCTGTTGAAATTTGTTAAAACGAGTCAATTCACCTCACCCCATTGTCCCCCTTTGAAAACTCAATCCTCCTCCCCTCAACACTTCTTCAGTTTCTAACAACCTGTGTCTCCCAATTTGTAAATCTATTTATAATCTCTTCTGCATCCAAATGAAAGCTTCTTTGCATTTATTTAAACCTCATTTATGAAGTCTTGGTTTATACTCGACAGGTAGCATTTGAAATCAAGCCTTTTGGGATCTTAACCACTCAAAACTATGGTTGTTCTGAAAAGTAATGGAATATAGAGAAACTGTTATAGCTTAAATAAAAATAGAATCTGGGTGAAACTAAGAAGAAACTAGAGATTTTTTAGTGAACTACCAAAAGAAAGACCAGAGATTCCAGGCAAGGCTGAACTCAGATAACTCTATCAAAGAATAAAGAGTAAGGATTACCTTTAAAAAGACTAAGTCTTATAAAGATTTAGATGGTTTCTATAATCGCAGGAAACAATGACCTACTTTTATGTACAAGTACGAAACTGTGTGTGAATAGTCCATTCTCTATACCTTCCTAATCCAATAAGCCCTCCCATTTGTAATGAATAGGGAGGGTAGTTACTTTAAAGACAGGTGATATGAGGTTTTCCTGGGAGGGGTGAGGAATATTCTAGCAAGAATAAAGAAAAAAAATAATGCGGCCAATGTTAAAGCTCTAGGGAGGAATTCAGGCCCTTGGATGATGGGGATTGGCAGCGAAGGGCTTGCCAGGCCTTGCTCTTAATACTATCTTACAAGGTGTGGCAGCAACAACAACAAAAGCACAAAAAAATAAAAAAAACACCTGTGACCTGAAAAGACTATTGCCACCCCCCACCCCCACCCCACACCTGTCAATTCTTAGTGAAGCATCCTTGGTGATTCCCAGAGCAAAGCCAGCAGGAACTATCACTTGTCCTAGCAGCTCCTCCTGGAGACACACCTTTATGACTGGGACCCCCTGGAGCCAGGGCCTGGCTGGGAGAATGAGCAGACTCCTGGACGGGCAGGCGGCTTGGGGATAAGGAAGATCAAAAGTCCTAAGTGCTTCATTCTTCACTCATCCTGCCCTAATTGGGGCCACCCTGGATTCTGGCCAGGGGTGGAAGTTTCATCCGGAGCCTTCTATTTTATAGGCTTTTGTGACCATCGGTCTTTGTTTCCTAGGTTGAGATTTGTCTCCGGAGAATCCCAAACCACTTCAATGTGGAGCCATCAGAGTCCCAGCCTGTCAGAATTAATAGGCACTTTCTGATCGTGCAGTCATCGCCAAGCATTTTGTTAATGCGCCAGGTGAGGCCGGCTGCAGAGCCGGTGGGGCTCAGTCACAGTGAAGCTGTGGATCGCACCTGTCTTGCAACATTTTTTTTTTTTTTGAGAAGCTTCAGGCTTTTCTTAAACACTTAAAGGTTACATCTTCATCTGGAACTGTGACAGAAAGAGACAGATGGGCAGATGATAAGGAGTACAGGAAGGACTGCACATTTAGATTTTGAATGGATCTTCTACCTCACCTCCACCTAGGAAAGGTGTGTCAGAGTCCCTGGGTTTGGAATTTGCTAGAAGGGTTCACAGCACTCAGCATATTGTACTCATAGCTAGGATTTATGACAAGGGAAGGATCCAAAGTGAGATCAACAAAGGGAGAAGTTCAGAGGGAACCAGGAGCCAGCTACAGAGTGTCCTCTCCCTGTAGAGTCATACAGGACATGCCCAGTTCCTCCCAGGACAAATTGTGACAACTCATGTCAAAGGTCTACCTGGGATATTCTTTGGAAACTCATGCCCAGATGGTCACATGGGCACTTTCTAGAAGGAAAACAGATATTCAGCATAAATCCTGTTGTGTGCACAAATGACACAGGCACAGCAAGCCACCTTTATGATGGACAAGTTTCATATTAGTGGAGGGAACTGTTGACCCAGTGAGTTCCCAGGTGTCAATCAAGGGCCACCCTTGCAAAGCAAGCCTCTCTACAGAGCCATCCCTGGCCACTATGTTAACGCCGCTACACAGACAGGCAGATGCTTTTGTTCTTGTTCTGTTAGAACTTGGGAAATTGCCAGCAATAAGGTCAAAGAGAGTTTATCAACCTAAGTCCCAGAGACATTTCTAGCAGGCCGTCTCTTCAATGGTCCCAAGATCCGTCAAATCTGGTGCGTCCAAGCCGAACTCGTTGTTATCCCACTTTCTGGCTCTTTGAACCTTCTACTTAGCAGCTCTAGGGAAGTCATCCTTAACATTCACATCCACTACACCTGCACAGTGACTCGACACCCAGTCTCACTGTTTCTGCAACTTAATGTCTCTCGGTCTTCTTCCTTGGTCCAGCTGCTGCTTCCCAGGTTCAACTTCTGTCATCATGCTCTGGGACAGCGGCTTTCTAATAGGTCTCTCTATATAACAACTCTCTCTCTCTCTCATTTTTTTTTTTAATCCTGTGTACCATCCACATTAATTGCTCCCAGATGACTTTTCCATTTTTCTTTTTCTTGAAAACTATTCTTTAATTTTTTGTTGGAACATGTTTAAGACTCACTAAGTTATTCCTTTTATTTGAGAAAGTAATACAGGCACAGGGTAGAAATTCAAAGACTATGAAAAGATATGCAATGACAATAAGTTCTCTCACTTCATGTTCCCACAAGTGGCTGTGGATGTGGCTCAGTGGTGAATGCTGGCCTTGCTTGCCGAAAGGACCTGAGTTTAATTGCTGATGCCCTCAAATAAGCAGAAGTCATTCCCGGTAAGATTTCTAGTACCCTCCACCAGAGATACTCACTGTTCATTTTTGTTTGTCTCCTTCCAAAATTTTTCTCTGCCTGTACAAGCGTGTGTAGGTAGGGATATCATCCAACACATACTGCACACAGTTGAAAATACACTCTAAAAGCCAGTCCATGTTTTTCTCTTTCTTTTAATGTCACCTTCAAGAACTTCCCTTATCTGTACATGCTGATCTATCCCATTTAAACGTGTCATAGTATTCTGTTGTAGGAATGCAATTGACTTACCCAGTTCGCTCTTGATGGATAATTGAGTTATGTCAAGGTTTTGCTATTTTTGAAGAGTTATTTTTTTTAAACCTGAATGTGCTCATATTTATCTCTGGTTCAGACATCTAAACTAACCTCCCTGGTTCGCAGCTCTCCTTCCAGCTGAGGATCAGCAGGTTGCCAGGGATCCCTGAGGCCACAAGAGAAACAAGGGCACATCTTCCAAGAGATCCACTGAAAGTTGCAAATTGAACTGGTAAGTGGTTAAAATTTTTCATATTGAATCAACACAATTCTACTATAGTATAAAATACAGAATTCTCACATATATTTCAGATGGTGGTAGGAGGCTTCTAAAGAAGTTCAGGGAGATTATCAGAGTCGTGTGACCCTTGGCAAGTTACTTAGCCTCTCCGAGCCTAGCTGACCTCATTTGCAGACACTAAAGGTAACATTGTAAGACTTTTGAGATTTAATCGGGGTATTACATGTTAAGTGCTCAGAATGATGCTCAATACATGTTAGTACTATATAGAGGTATTATTATTATTATTAATGTTATTATCTTTATTATTCAAGGTCCAGTTTCCAGGTAACAACTTCTGCCTCTATCACATCTGCTTACACTTAGCACCTTATTTTACTTGCCTTCTCTTCCCCATTAGGTAATGTTCTGGATAGAGGGGACCCTGTATTATATATCTTTATGTCCCTTGTGTTCGACACATACTAGATAATCAATGGATGTTGAATAGATGCAAATAAATGAGATAATTATAATAATTACCATTATTATAATAACATCTATCCTCATTTCTAGGTATTATCCCTTTTTATGAAACAACTGATAATGTTGGGGTCTAGGGGCTTTTCACTTCCCCAATATGGTTTATATGTGAAAATGTCACTATAGAAAACTTTTACACTAAGCTAGCCTTTCTTAAACTATCTTGATGCTTCTAGATATTTTCCAAAAGCAGGTGGCATGCATAAGTACACTGGAGACATTCTAGATCCCCTGAAGCTACATACGAATCTTTACTAAATTATTTCTCAGGGCCCTTCCTAGGCCCAAGTCCACAGGGTAAGGTTAGGGAATTCCTTAACCTTTTTCTCACAGAACATCATCGGCAAGGGATTCATTGATAAACACAGCACCAACCAGACCTCCCGCTCTCTTTGGGCTGACTTGCCCTGAGCGTGGGAGCCATTCATTAATGGCCACTCATTGGTGCCATGTATTGCTATGATCCCAGGCTCTGAGAGCATCTCCACTTCTTTCCTAAGGCCCTCATCATTAGTGAGCCACTGTGGCCACTCACTAATGTATTTGGTAAAGATTTATTGAGTTTCTGCTATGTCAGCTAATGGGGGAGAAAACAAGATTCGTGCCCTGTAGGAACTAAGTGGGGACTCTGAACAGATTCACAGCACGTCCAACACCAGGCCATGAATGTCAGATGGGCAGAGGGGGCTCTCTGCTGGCTGCACAGGAAGCTCTGGTCTGAGCATTTTTTTTTAAATTTTTGAACTTGCCAATGGATCTTTATTTTATTTATTTATATGTGGTGCTGAGACTCAAACCTAGTGCCTCGAACGTGCTAGGCAAGCTCTCTACCACTGAGCCCCAACCCAGCCCTGAGCGTTCTTTTTTTTTTTTATTATTCTAAATAAAATACTTTATTATCCTTTTGTTGATAACTTGCTTTTTAAACATTTTTTTATTATTGTTTGTTCAAAACATTACAAAGCTCTTGACATATCATATTTCATATATTTGATTCAAGTGGGTTATGAACTCCCATTTTTACCCCGTATACAGATTGCAGAATCACATCGGTTACACATCCACGTTTTTGCATAGAGGTGGGAGGGAAAGAGAGAGAGAAGGGAAATTGCATGGAAATGGAAGGAGACCCTCATTGTTATACAAAATTACATATAAGAGGATGTGAGGGGAAAGGGGAAAAAAAAACAAGGGAGAGAAATGAATTACAGTGGATGGGGTAGAGAGAGAAGATGGGAAGGGAGGGGAGGGGGGATAGTAGAGGATGGGAAAGGTAGCAGAATACAACAGTCACTAGTATGCCCTGAGCATTCTTGAGGAACCCAGATTTTGAGCTGGATAAGAATAAGCATTAGTGATCCATTGCACAGAACAATGGCCCTAATTGATAAGGCATCACCTATTTCTAACTTTCTAAAGAGGGTAGATTTTCAGTGTTCTCACCACAAAAAAAAAAAAAAAAGTCTTGCTATGAGATGATAGATTTGCAAATTTGCTTGTTTTAATTATTCCACCATATAAACATATATCGAAACACTACATTTTACCCCATAAAGAGACACAATTGTTATCTGTCAATTAAAAATTTTTTAAGTTGCGCTTTTTTTTTTTTTAAGGAAAAAATTGGAGGAGGATGAAATTTTGTTTTTCTGGTCCAAACCTCTCATTGAATAAGTGGGTGGGGGAGTTTGAAGGGGTAGGATGTTTTGTTTTGTTTTGTTGTTCTTTTGTTTGTTCTTTTGTTAGTGAGCCACTCTTCTGAGCTCACACAGTGAGTTGGGAGCACATGGAAGCAGTATTTTTTCCACAGCATCATCTGACTCCTGTGTCTGAAGTGAGAAAAACATACAGACACCCCAGGGTGTCCACAGGGACTGGTTCCAGGACCCCTGAAGACCCAAAACAGTGATGCTCAACTCCCTTATATAAAATGATAATATTTGAAAATACCTATGTAAATCCTCCTGTGTATTTTAAGTCATCTTCTGGATCATTTATAATAACTAATATAAATTCTCTGTGTGTGTATGTATAGTGTGTGTATGGTACTGGGGGTGGAACTCAGGAGGGCTCTACCACGGAGCTACACCCCCAGCCCTTCTTATTTTTTATTTTGAGTCAGGGTCTCACTAAGTTGCTGAGGCTGGCCTCAAACTTGTGATCCTCCTGCCTCAGCCTCCAAGTCACTGGTATTATAGGCATACACCCAACAATATAATGTAAATTCTATGTAAATAGTTCTTATCTACATTTCTGAGGATAATGAGGAGAAAGAAGTCTGTACATATTCTGCACAGCTGAAAAAAAAAGTTTTCCAAACATTTTCAATCTGAAGTTGGTTGAATCTAGAGGTGCAGAACCAGCAGATATGGAAGGCTGAGTATACATAGGAAAGGAAACTAGGAAAGGATTTCTTTGTTGGACTTGTTCAGAGCCGTGGAAGGTTGGACAGGTTTCCTATTAATGACCTCTGACCATGTTCTATTTTCGTGGGCCTGTCTTTTTATCGCTTCCATCTCAGGCCATTCCTGGAACAGGCGGTTGTACCCTGCAGAAGCCATAGTCAAAGCAGGGCAGCTTTAGGAGCCAGAGGGCTGGTGCAGCTCCCTGCGGTTTGCCAGCCTGGTAATTGCTGGTGGGAGGACAGTGATGCAGTGCAAATAGGGCTTTCAGAATGCAAGGGAGTGTGTGGTATTGTGGTTCCCAGTGTCCCATGCAAATCCTAAGCAAACAGGAATGTAATAGATGCACCACAGATAGCATGAACGAGGCCACCCACTCTGGCTGCAGGCTCTCAGCAGCCACCCCGCCTGCTCAGCGCCAAGGAACTAACCGCAGCTCCCACAAATGGCACTCATCACTTCTCCCAAGAATTCCTCTCTGCATTTGGAATGAAGCCCACATCCACTCTCTGAGCCCCCTTGGTCTTCCACCCCCAACTCCACCCTCCCTTTCTCAATTCCTCTTCTGATCTCCCTGTATGCTGTCTTCTGCTGAGCCAAGCACATGACCCATGCTTCCCCATCTTAGAGTCTTGGCTCACAGCTTTCTGCTGCCTCTGCTTGTTGAAATCCCGTGACTCTTTACAATGATGTGAACCAGTAATGTTCAGGTTCATTTGCATTTAAGAAAGTTCTGCTGTACTGGTTGAACTAATGTATGGGCTTAATGTATCTTGTACAACAAGAAGTTCAGGAGCAGGCAGTCTAAGGCTGGTTTGGAAGCTCCGGGATGCCATCCAGGAACCTAGTTCTTTTCATCTTCTCATTACAACTTCTTTATAGTAACACTGCTGTGGCTGTAGGCATTATAGAAGTCCCAAGTAGAAAGAAAGAGGTAGAAGTGGTAGAAGCTGCCCTAGAAAAAATCTACAAATGTCTCATTGGCCAGAACAGAGTTGCTTTGCCACCCCCAGCTGCAAGGGAGCCTGGGAAGATTTTAAGCTTTCTAGCCTCTAAAGGCCAAGTAAAAGGGAACTGAAATGGGTGTTGAGTGATTTAACCTGTTTTAAATGTTACCTCCTCCCTGAAGCCTTTTTCAGGCATCTTAAACTTTCTTTGCTTTGATCTAACATGTGTAATCCTTTTCGGGAGCATTTACATTTTGCCTTGTGTTGGATATATCCTAGTCTTTCCTTCAGGATTATAAGCTTCTTAAGGATAATAGATGCATCCCTGGCTCCCGCCTTTCCCTTGCAGTTTCTTTTGGATTGATTTGTGATTTCTTCCCACATGTCCTTCCTCCTGCTCTTCCTTTCCTAAAATGCACCTGGTAGACATTCTGTAAGCCTGTGTTGATTTACTCTGAGTGGATTGAAATGGGAGAATGATGTCATGTTTATCTAGAATTGGAATCCTGAGTTTTACTTGGTGACTTTGATAAGTCACGTGGCCTTTTTGGACCTCCGTCTCCTCATCTGCAAAATTAAGGGCTTCAACTGAATGGTCTCAAAGTTTTCTTTTAGCTTTAAGATCTTGAGGACTCTTATGAGATTTGATTTAGCTGTTCTGGGGCATTCAATAGAAGTAGAGCCCATTCAAAAATAATGAGAGAAATGGTGGAACCCAGGTCCCTCTCACTCAGTCCCAGTTTATAGGCCCAGGCCAAGTCCAGAAGGGCAAAAAGGAAAAAGGAGGCTGGAGGTTGGTCTGTCTTGGGGCCCAGAGCAATCTTAGGAGGTTAATTTCAGGGAGTGGGAATTCTTCCATCTGAGAGCCTTTCTGAGCCTCGCCTCCTAATGCAGAGAAGGGCTGTCGCTAACACTTCCCTAGATTTGGGGAAGATGGAGCTCCACATCTGGCATCATCTGTAAATTGGAAGGAGTAACCAGTGTCTGTCTCACATGCCACAAGGGATATGGACCTTTGGGTTGGAAACTCTGCCCTTAACGTTATTTCAAACAAGTCAATCATTCTGTCTGGGCTTTAGATCCCCGTCTATAGAAGAGAGGCGCTGCCATCTATCACTGTCTTTCCAATCTTTAGCACCAGAACAAAAGTGATTAAACGCTCGAATAGGTTCCCCAAGTGGCAAGTCATCTTCTTGGCAAGAAATGCGTTTTGATGGTCTGTGGAATCCCAGGGGCATCTCTGCAGATCCCTGTGAACGGGTGTGGCAATGGCTAGGGTAGGCGCCCTCTGAGCTCCCGCCCCGCTCTCTGCCCCGCTCTCTGGCTGCCTTTCCTGGTCATGATTACAGTCTTGTTTTCCATCTACTTCAGCCTGGTCCCCAGTTTCGGTGTCAGATGGAGTGAAGAATGTATCACCATGACTCTTGGTCCCAAGTGGATGGGTTTCACCTGGGTGCATTGCTTATTTCTGATCAGTCCTCATTGTTTTTATTGAAGCTTCTATTTTCCCTTCCCCACCCCAAAACAGGGCTTGGCTCTGAGTCTCCTGTGCCCTCACTACACGCAATCCTTTGTAAGATATTATGACAAATTCAGCCATTCCTATCCCTTGTCTCCAGGTTGGTGAGTCACAGGTAGGCCATGAAGCTGGTGCTGAAAAGAAGTCTTACACCTGGATGAGACTCTTGTTTCTACT